ATTTTTTATTTCATTGACCAAACAACTCATCAATAAGTGAAGAAAATAATCAACAATGAAAATAATCATTTGTTACAGCCGTAATAAAAAATGCTACCATACACATAAGTGCTCAATATTAAAACAATACAGCTTCTGTGTACATAAATAACTGCACTACAGGCTTTTGCAGCATTCTTTAGGTTTAGCTGCTCCACATCAGATGTGCTTCTCATTCCTTAGTAATCTACACAATGACACTCAATGGTGGGGTGTAATGAATCACTGGAGGATTCACAAAAGCTGCATCAATGTGTGAGAGTGTGGCAATGAGAGAATTCGTGCCAAACTTTTGCTTTTTTTCTGCTCAGAGGAGAATAACTTCACACTCACCTTCACCAATCTGACGAGAACAAGCAGGACCACCACTAAGAAAACTGTAACTGTTGTGTATTGTGAACAGAAGTGGTGATAAATTTGACTTTGGAATGCAAAGCTGACATGGCTTCACATAGTGCACTGTAAATCATCGTAGTTCTATAGCTTAAGAAGGGGATGATAGAGTTGCTACAGTCTCTGTGCTTGTTTGTTTTTCATAACACAATGCTAAATTATATTGTAGTTTGAAAACGTGGCTAAATCACTGTGGTGAAATAATTATTAAAGCAGAATGTCATCTTTTATGTCTTCACTTTATTGCCTGTTTGTACAAATCTGCCAAACCTAATTACAACATGTGCATTTTACCTATTTCTACTGTCTTTTCTTCAATTAACAGTTTTGTATGAACTGTTTTGCTGGTATGAATTTTGATTTATGGCAGTTGTATTGCTTTCTATTTGAAAGACAATATTTTAACTGATGATACATTTACTTGTATGTGTTTTGATTTGCACCTCAACATTCTTTTTTGGAAATAAACAAACATTTACAGCCAGATTGAAATTACTACAGTTAGAATTTTGTGGCTGATAATAGCTAGATTATTCAGACAAGTTTAAGTTCAGCTCAGATATAACTAAACTATCAGAATACCGATGTGATTCTGTGATTGTAAGCAAAAATGCCATGACAACATTAATGAGAACTGAACGTTTCATTAAAGAAGCTGCAACACAGTCACCACCAAGCTACAATATTCCTTTTAATGTGACTAATAGGTTTTAAAAGGAAATTTTACTCTGATTCCAAATTCCATTTGACACATAAAATCACACTTCCCTAAAAACATTTGTACCGCTCTGGAACTACCTGGCATTGCTCTGCTTGTGATTCATTGACTCATTCCACCAAGTAAACTGTTTAAAAACTAGACTTTAGAGCCATTATTTCACATTTTAATTGCCTCAGAAGTTATCTGTTGTCCAATTAGAGTGTATTTTTATAATACTCACTGATGACAATGATGTTAATTATTTACTTTATTTTTATGAGGCCTACTTTAAGTTGATTTAACATAAATACTCTTGTGTTTCCATGTTTTACTGAGTCATTTTTCCTCCTTCCTCAACCCTCACCACCTTGATACACACATGCATTTATTATTCAGTCTGCTGATAGATGCTGCCGTCTCTCTGAAGTAGTCACATCTGGTCTGGCAAAAGGCATTCAGTTACCAACACTGCATGGATTTCAACTGAACTCTGGCTTTGGTTTTAATCACCGAGTCCACATTCCTGGCATAATTCCCAACTCTGGAGCCAAGACTCATGCCCAGAGAGCACAAAAAGAGCAGGCATTTCACCTCATACGCCAAAGAAGAAACCACAAATGTTTAGCAGTGACTCTTTGAACAATGTGTCCTTTCGTGCACTTTATTACCTCATCATGTACTAATGGAAAATTTTCTTTGTGACGCAAAAGCCCCTACATGTCGTTTGGACAGGACACACTAGATGATGGTAACACACTGTGGTGCACCTGTGATAGACAGATTTGGCCCTGCTTAAAAGATAAGGCTTGCTCTAAATTGACAAATGCTAGGTTTTATTTTGAAAAAAGCCTTCGTAATTTCCTATTATTACTCTGCATTGCAGGCTACAGTGGAATTATACTGTACTGTATGCAGTGTCTTTGCCGGGGACTATTTTCAGCAGTGAATTAATAAGCACTTGTGAGTTCAGCTGGACAGTGTATGTGGGACTGACTCAAAAATAAGCTACAGTGGCCATAACAGTCAAAGAACATGTCACCCACTGCAAAAAAAAACAAACCCCAAAACAAAACAAAACAAGAAAAAATCACTTTTTGCACAATAGTGGAGCTCTATGGTCAGTGCTTGGGACAATGCAATACCGCAATCACATTAGTATGCAACACAATAAACAATGCATTATATTACTCAGGAATGACATTACAATTAGTTAGTTACTAATTTTTAGGGCTGCCACTGTCAGCATTGACTATTGTGCCCATCATTTGATCAATCTACAGAATTTTCCTTGAAAACAGCAAAATGACCATGTTCACTTTATGATGGCATTATGTATGTAAACAAAGGTTTATATTGTCAAGTGTGAAACTGTCTGCTCAAACTGGCAACTCAATATTATTAAAGAAACCCACGTTACTCCCAAACTTCACTTAAAGTGAAAAAGTTTGGTCTGTTTATAAAACAAAGTTCTCTATGGACATGGTGAACAGAGTAACGCCTTTTCTCCATATTGTGAAGTTCCAGTTACAAAGAATTGTAATGGTGCAGAGCAGCAGTCAAGAAGTAATTGCTGGTTAACATGCAGTTTGAATGAGTCTCACTTCAGCTATTTTTTAAAAAACTTGTTCTGCTGGCTGACAGAATATATAAAGGAGAACAGCTTCACTGGGAATCCAGCTGCATTAAACAGTATATGTGAGCACAGAGAGTAGGAGAGAAGCAAACATGTAAAGTGCCTTCACACCAAACAGCAACTGTGTTTTCTCTTCATGCACTTGTATATTGTGGTGCTCTGACACACCATCTAAACACTGCAGTCTATAAATCACTTATTGTTCTGCAATTTCAAGCACTCCCATAATTTTGAAGCCTAGGGCCTTGTCTTGTCCTGTACTGAGTGCAGCTGGCCAGCGAGTGGAGCCAAAAATGATTGACGTCGTGATGCAACAGTTTCATAGTGAAACGGAAGAAAAACACTTTTGGTTTAAGATTTTTCAGTATTGTTACTGTTGAATACACCAACCAATGGCAGTAACTTTGCTGCTTTTACTTTGAGGCTGTATGGCCTCCTGCCAGTGCAGTGCCTTGAGTCTGGTGGACATGCCATAGTTCTTACCATGACATTTGCTTGTAAAGTGCTCTTTGGACTGATTTTCCACAAACGTTGGTGTTGGCCATGCACTTAAAGAGCAAACAAGAAAGTAAGTCTTGTACATGCCCTCTATATTGGAGCAGGGATTAGTGCTGATAAGTGGACATACTTACAGGTTAAATAAATTGGTAAAAGTCATTTCCGTGACAATGCATACCAGGCCTTGTGAAACACATTGGGAACAACTAAAGTACTGCTTTACTTTTTTAAAAAAAAAAAAAAAGTAATGAAATATGTAGTCCAGTAATATTTTTAACAACTTCAACATGGTCTAATATGTTACATGGTTGGAACACAGAGCCAAAACTTGCCAGCAGGATTTTTAAAATGTTCTTGCTTTGTCTTTGCAGACTGCATATCATCTAAACCTTCTAAACCCAACAGGAACAACTGAATACCAGTCACCTCCTTTTGTTTCGGACTAATAAAAGAGCAACAATTAACAGATTAGTTGTCAACTATTAAATTAATTGCTAGGTACTTTGACAGTCAGATAGTCAGTTTAAGTAATTAAAAACAACAACAAAACAATTCTCTGATTCCAGCTTCTTATGTGAATATTTAATGTGTCACTGATCGGGTTCAGAGACTCAAGTGCGGACAAAGACAACCCAAGCATATAAAATAATGATATTAACACGCAGATACATTTTACCGGAAATGGAAACTGAGGTCTGAGAGGAATGGCGGGCAAGAGCTGCCCTGTTACAGGTCGGACAGGGAATTATCAAACAATTCCAAATACAAAAATTTTATCTTACGAATCTAAACAAGTAAAGATAAATAATGTCACTGAGACAGGGCAAAACACTAAGCAGGCCTTGGTATAACCAAGCTAACAAAGACAATACAAGATATACAACAAATTACAAAGCTAAACGGATAATAGGAATACGGAACTCACCAGTGTGTCGAGGCACAGAAAAACAAACAAACACACACACACACACACACACACACACACACACTTAAAACGAGTGACTAACTATACTAGGGAGACCCCAGCAGGAGCTAGGTGAACTTAGCTGACAGCCAAACCGGGGAGAGGGATGAGGGGAGGTGAATGGCGTCCGCGCAGGTGCAGAAACCAGGTGGAGGGTCTTGTCAGAGAGGTCCACCTCGGAGGTGGGACTGGAGACACGAACCGGGTATGGTGAAGCAGCGGAGAGGGTCCAGAAGTCTGGTATTTTACGGTCCGTCGTCGTGAAGTGGTTTGAACGTGGCGTTTGTCGCAGAAGGTGATGAGTTGTAGGATATGATAGAATATCTCTGGGTTGTGGGCAAAAATAAAAATAAAATAAAAAAGACATTTGAGGATGTAATGTTTGACATTCAGGAATATTTTATTGAAAAATATCAACAGAATGGTCAACGATGACAGCCCTGCACAGATGCTGTTTGATATACAGCAATGTACATTCCACACACTTTTGCAATCATCTTTCATCTCAACTCTTCCAATTGCCTTCCGAAAAATTGCTCTTCCTATTCTTTGGTAACCTACACAATAGCCCTTACCACATCTGTGTGAGTGTGTCATGAATCACTAGTGGATGTGCAGAAGCTGTGCGTGAGCGTGAGCGTGCATACGTCAGGGTGCATGTGTGTACTCGTGCCAAGCCTCTTTTTTTTTTTCCTGTCCAGGGGAGGGTCGCGTCACACCCACCAGACTGACTAACACGAGCAGGACTACAAATAAGACCCAGATAGCAGCAGAGACACACACTCTTCCCCTCTGAGCTGGAGATTCATTGAAAACACTGTTTAGCTCAAGAGCACAGCAGGAATCATGACTCAAGGTAAGTTGAATGCTGCCTTTTACTTTTTTTTTTATTTATTTAACAGCAGCCCTGTCATGATAATCAACTTGCATAGTTTATACAAAATACAAATGTTGATTGTCACATAATCCCAGTTGGTTTTGTCACCAGTTTGTCTTTTTTTTTCTGTATAATAGTTCCACTATTTCCAATATGGAATAGTTTGTTGACTTTGAATGCAACTCTGAGTGTATTTTAATGCCACTGACTGAGACTGTGCATGTCCAGGAGGTTCAAACTTTCACTTTATTCTCCTGTTGTCACTAAGCGTGCAGCATGCATGGTGTCTAAAGTCACCACAGCCCTCAGGTGTCATCACGATTCAATCCAGCTGCACAGTGCTGCAGGATTTCAATCAGGCTTTCTTCAGAGATCTTAGGACCTGAAAATGTTTCATGTTATGTGTGGATGATTGTTACCCTGGGACCTCAGCAATTATAATAGCAGCTGTAGCTTCCACTAGTTAACTGCTGCTATCTTTATAGACGCACATAGCACCCTACAAATAGTTTGCTTGTGAAGACATTCAGACCTCTGAAAACAGCTTTGCTCCAGATCACAGCTTAAGGTTGAAGCTGTTGTTCATTTGTGTGTGAAGTCAAAAAATGTAGCATACCGAAAATATATGACAGAAGCTGTAGGACATTTCAGTAGTGTGTGTACTCAATAGTCTGAATCAGTGCTTAGGTTGTTCTGTATATTTTCTGAATTTACAAGCCAGCAACAGGAACAACTAAATAAAAACTTGAATAAAACCTTGTTGGACATCCTCACGCCACCACCATGAAGAACAAATAACATCCTGATACATCCATGACACCTGTTTTCCGTCTCTAAGGCATGCACAAGGCATTCATTTGAAGCTGGAAGTGCTTGCGATGGAGACCTGAAGTCAGCATGGGTGTTACCTCCAACACTGAAAAGTTCTTTTAATTCAGAATGTTTGCATATTTACTTTTCCAGGTTTAAAATAGTGTTTACCGTAACAGCTGCTGCCCAGTTGTCACCCGCTAGATTTTGTTTAAATCTCCTTATAAGGCTCATACTGTGCTCAGCGCTGCTAACAGTCCGTCTGTGGTGTGGGTCTGGTTTGGAGGAGTGGGAGTGAAGTGTGGGCGTGTACACTATGTGAGGGTTAGTGAAGGGAGTTGGGGTCAGGGCTCAGGAATTTCTACCCATGCATTATGTATCGGAGCACTGTCTTGCTGCAAGCTACCCTACACAATGAACTGCAATCCAGTGGCATGTACTCAGTGCTCAGGCTTCACATGCATACCATCTGGCATGCAACCGCTTCATTTTACATGATACACTCTGTTGCACTGCAGTATAGGAGCAAATCCAAAGTCATTTTCTTTTATATCAGTTATGGTTTTAAATCACCACAGAAAGTATGATGTCAGTTTCTCGTTGCACCATTAGCCTGTTTCAGAAGGTTTTGGGCCATAGACTTTCATATGTTATTAATCCATATAATTGTTTTCACATTCTATCAGCTGGGGATCAGTTTTATTGGATTTTCTTTCCTTTACAGTAAAACTTTTTGTTTTTTCCAGATGGCTTCTCAATTACCTGTTAAATAATAACTATGCTACAGCTCATATTTTTTTTCACACATCAAATGTGAGTGAAATTGCTTGAGAGTGTTGCATAGACTCCTCTGACTGCAGTCTCCAGCTGCTCCAGAATGACTTCACACTGCGCTACACTAACACGTCTTCAGCTGGGATGTGGACAAGATCAGTAAAACATCAGAGCCTCGGCTAATACAGAGGAATGAACCCCCGTGAACTTCAAGTAAAGCAGCATGACGTCTCTCCAGCTTGTTTACTCAAGTCTAGCTCAGCCTTGACACCTCTCGACACCCCCTCTTGCTTGTTTCCGAGGTATAATATACGGGGGGAGGCTAACCTTAGATGACACTGAGCAGACCGACCAGCGGTTAGACAGCAGCAGGAGGACCGTGGAGGCATTGTATAGGAGGACCCTAACTTTTCCTAAAAACAGGAAATCCGAGGGTGGGATTCTGTTAGTCACAACAGGCCCTGGAGAGAAGGAGGGAGTGTGCAGGGAGTGACCGTCTGTCTGTGTTTACCTTCTGTTAAATCAATGCAGAAAGACCTGTCAAATAAAATTATCTTTCTACTCAGCAAACAACTGAGCATCTACAGTTTTACTTCCAAGTCCACTGTATCTATGGTGGCTTTGAGCATCACAAATTTGATAAAACGAGGAGTCATTATGAAGTGAAAGTACAATTACATGTAAGAAAATATAGCAACACTCACAGCTGCAACATGTAGAAATCCAGACGCTGGTTAACCGCAAGTTTCTGGTTAATCCCTCATAAAAAATATATATGTAATTGTTGGACCTTGTAAATTTAGTTTATTATCCCTCATCCTAGACACAGTACGCAAGTTTAACAACCTCTACTTTGTTGTGGCATTTTAAGTGTTCAATGAACCTACATATATTTTCCTATATAAACAAGAATATGCTAAACACATATGTATACATGCCTAATGTGTTTTCACGACTGTGCTAAAAAATAGACTGTTGTAGACAATTGAAAAATAAAGTCACACATTAAATAATCAACAAACTTTTTTTTTTAGTGTTCTTATGTTTTTTTTGTTTTTTTTTTTAAAGTAACTCCCTTTATGATGGTGGGGTTGACTTAACCCCCTTTTTTTGTATATTTTGATAATTAGCCTCTTACAATAAGTTTTGTGCTTTCGTTTTGTCTTCTTTGAAGCTCTGAACATTGAACGCTGGAACCTGGAATGTTTGTTTAACAACACGGACCATCGTACTGATCTCAACGGTGTGGATCGTCTGATCGTGAGGAGAGGCCAGCCGTTCACGGTCAGCCTGTACCTTCGCTCTGGACATTACCAACCAGGAGTCAGCTCTCTGGACTGCGTTGCAGAAACAGGTGCTACTCCTTTCAGACACATTTCTGCTGGTATTATGGTAATTTGCAGTGCATGAAAAGATTTGGAAAAGCAAGTGAAGAAAACTGTCATAAGGTTAAAACAGTGTCAGAATGATGAATGAAAAGCTCTGACCTCTTATTCAGGAAGTTAGAGACACAATAGAAGGACCTGCTACTGTGTGTTTCTCTTGACATTGTTCTCATTGTTGCTTATGTGAAGGGAAAAGGAGCAGCGATGTTGATGGAAAGGAACGGGAAATTTCCCTAGTTCAGTCATCAGGGATACTGCACTATAGTGTTACTGACTTTTATGTTGAGCGCAGTTACAATAGCAGTAAGATGTGATGCTGTTGTTTCCATTGTTAACCTCAAGTCCTCCCTCATAATTCTGCGGGTGTTAAAGGGCTTTGCTTTTAGTGTTGGAAGCCCCAGATACTAAATCCTCATGTATTTGTCTTCATTATACAAACACTGAAGAGTATGATAAGACATAGTGCTGCAGCCCATGAAGTATAACTCTTTAAACAGGAAACGCTGCTTGCCAAGAGGAAAGCGTGTGTATAATCATAGATAACATTATCAACCTTTGAAAGTCAAGCATATTTTAATAGATTTGAGTGGAAGCCTTCACCCCACCCAGTGAAATGGAAGCGATCAAAAACTTTGCCCTTGCTTTAGTTGGCTGCATTCAGTGGAAGATGTTGAGGAGTTCACGGGCACAAATGATTTATGTAACTTACCAGAACTTTGTGACAAAAAAATCCAAGTAAATACTTTGCAATTACACAGTTATGCTGACCATGCATATAAAGAGATTCCAGAGATGTTTGAAGCAAATTTAGCAAAGTTTCGGGAAAACAGTGATTTTCCATTCCCCAGACGAACAAATGTTTTCCTTAGATCTCTTGCCCTCTTCTTTTAGACTCAGACCTCTAACTACATTTACTGTTGCATGCAGGTCCTCAGCCCTCTGAGCAGTACGGCACCAGGGCCTCCTTTGGTCTGTCTGCCAACATCGACACCTCCCGCTGGAGCGCCACTGTCACCAGTCCCCCCGGAGACATGGTGGCCCTGTCCGTCTGCTCTGCCCCTGACGCCCCCATAGGCCGCTACACCCTGACCCTGGGGCAGTCAAGCAGGATTGAGTTTATTCTGCTCTTTAACCCTTGGTGCCCAGGTGGGTAAACACACCATATGTCAAGCTGCTGTGCTATGGATCTTGTGTAGACAGAAACAGCTGTGATGATCATGTTTCACAGCAGAGTGGGCTTTCGGATGGGAGGTATTCAGGAGCAGTGGTGAAGAGATCATATAGGGGGAGCACTGTGATTTAGTTAAATAGTTATTGTGTGATTTTTAAGGAATAGTTCAAAATTTGGGGGAATGTGATCAGAAAAGTAGGCCTGGCTTTGTTTCAAGGTAACAAAACCTGCCTACTAGTACCTCTAATAGTCATTAATTAATCCTTATATGTGATTTATTTAAACAAAAACAAAAGTGCAAGCATAAAACAACAAGAAATTCCACCAGTGATTATTTGTCAGGGTACTTCTTCATTCCTCTTTTTAGTCTTTAATCTAAGCTAGGCTAAGCTATCCCGTTTGTGGCTGTATCTTTTCATTCTCTCTGCAAGGAAACAAATAAGCATGAAACTCGAGGGAAAGTTTTCAATTTTTATCAAAACAGTTTGAATAGATTTCATCTGGCGAAGAAAATTTGTGTTTTTAATTTCCAGGAAATTAAGACCAGAGACCAGAATCAGTCATGCTCCAGTTAAGACATGTATTTGTACTAATTTTATTGTTTGTGATGTCTCTCGGCAACAGGGGATGTAGTATATATGGACAATGAGCAGAGTTTGGCAGAGTACGTCTTGGCTCAGGATGGCATCATCTTTCGGGGCAGCTACAAACATCCCATACCTACTCCCTGGAACTTTGGCCAGGTACCAACACCAACACCGACACTTGTGTCATTATAAACACAAGTCAGTCAGATGAGCCAGTATATTGTGCCAAAAAGTTGAAGGAGTTTATGTCGTGCCTCTCCCGATAACAGGAAAATATCCACTTATCAAGGGATTCATGATGTGTGACACAATTGCAAAAAAATAACAAAAAATATTTACAATATATTTGACAATGTTGGTCTGATAAAGTCAGCAGTTTTAAACATCCAGTGTGCTGTGTATTCCTGTCTGTTATTGTTGAATGGGTTTCAAAAAGGACATGCTTTTAATGTCTACTCTTTTATCAGTGGCAATATGTCTTTCTGTGTGGTGCAGTTTGAAAGTGGAATCCTGGATGTCTGTCTAAGGATACTGGACATGAATCCTAAATGTCTGAAAAATCCTGGCAAAGACTGCTCAGGGAGACGGAATCCCATCTATGTGTCCCGAGTGCTGAGTGCCATGGTATGTCCTGTTCATTTCTGATATGTTCTTCTCTGTTTAGAAACACTTCTTTCTGTTTGTTTGTTGGCATAGATGGAAAAGAAAAACCTTGTGGAAATATGTTTTACATTTCCTTCCTTTGCCTGGCAGGTGAACTGTAATGATGACAAAGGAGTGTTGCTGGGGAGATGGACAGATGACTATGACGGAGGCGTGAGCCCCATGTTCTGGAGGGGCAGTGTGGAGATTCTGCGCAACTGGGACACACAAGCCTGTCAGCCTGTTCGCTACGGACAGTGCTGGGTGTTTGCTGCAGTGGCCTGCTCGGGTAAGATAGGGCAGAGCCCAACTTGGAAGCATATCTCTGGAAAACACACTCAAGCAGCCACAACATAACTCCATATATGTAAACACACAGTTACGCTATACATTTCACTCCTCCTTAGAGTATCATTAGACTCAATAAGTTGTCTTTTTACCCTGTCAGTTTCCAGAGCCCTGGGCATCCCCTGTCGAGTCGTCACCAACTACCTGTCAGCCCACGACACCAACAGCAACCTGACGATTGAACGCTACATTAACGAAAACGGAGACCCGATTCAGTCCCGAGAAATGATCTGGTTAGAACTCATTGAAGTTGTTTCTATACTGATGCCCGAAAACCCCTCCAGACAAAGCTAATAATGTTGATTACCTTCCAACAAGAGAACATTCCTGGGGTGTAGAAGACATGAAAAGAATGGTCAGTTCAGTTCTCATAGTCTACCTGTTGGTTGCATGAAGTAGGGGCAGATGTAAAGACCAGAAAGACTTTGACAAGGGCCAGACAGTTGGGTCACAGTGGTGGGTACAAAGTCTGATCTGCAGCTACTCAAACTATAAACATAGAAGACTTAAAGGATCAAGGTGTCAGACACCACAGCAAATGTTTGGAAGTCTTGTCGAGTCCATTCCTTTGCTCATTGGAGCTTGTTGGCGGCACGCATGGTGTCAGAACATCCCTTGGATTATTGAAATTTACACACAGATTGTAGAGATTTACTCTGATGAAGACACAGTGTTGAAATGTTAGTCTGTTTGCAAAAGTGATGGCTACGAAGCCTCATGCTTCAGCCACATTTTGTACTCTGGAAATTTACTCTCGAGTTGAGAAACACCCATCTCAGCGGCTTTTTACTGGAAGATGCACTAAAAATCCTGTTTATAGAAAAGATTTTACTCAGCAGAGGTCTAGTTGTGACTTTAGTTGTGTAAAGTCAACTAGTAAGGTCAACTACCTTCAGTTTTGGTACAAAAATTGCATTAGAACATTAGAAGTATATGCATGGGAGGTCTTTTTTTAACTAGCAGTCCAGCTGATGGTTTGTACTGTTTCTGCAGGAACTATCACTGCTGGGTAGAGAGCTGGATGACCAGACCTGACCTCAAACCTGACTTTAATGGCTGGCAGGCCAGTGACCCCACACCTCAGGAGAAAAGTGAAGGTAACAAACATTCTATTAAACATTTTTTTCACCTTCAAGCACAATGCTCACCAACATGTATCTGTCAATTTTTGTTCCCTCATTCTGTTTCCTCCTCCCTCAGGAGTGTACTGCTGTGGCCCCATCCCTCTCAGAGCCATCAAGGAGGGTGAGCTTACGTTCAAGTACGATGCACCCTTTGTCTTTGCTGAAGTCAATGCGGATGTCATCACGTACATGAAGAAAAAAGATGGCAGCACATCGAATGTCACTAACAACACAGTAGTGGGCCAGAAGATCAGCACCAAGAGTGTTGGCAGTGATGCCAGAGAGGACATCACTCATCTCTACAAGTACCCTGAAGGTAGCGAGCACTGCTGGATATACATGTGGTCAGACCTGTCTAATAATCTAGTAGTACTAAAAAATCTTTTCAAATTTTAACATTGAAGTGTCCAGGAAGACCAAGAGGGTCAAAGAAGTTTTAATTTTTTTAAGGATTCTGGCAGAGACATAGAGTTTTATCTTCATTATGCTATAGTATTTAAACACACCATTTAAACTGTCTGTAACATATACAAATCTTGTCTGCATACCAAAAGGTCAAACCAAGCTCACTTGTATACGTTTTCTTTCTAAATTCCTGCATTCCATATAAGGATTTTTGTTTATTTTAATGTACATGAAGTGGAATTTAACTCATTTATCATCTCAAAGATACCAAAGGCGTTGAATTCTGGATGGCAAAACTTCAAGTATTAGGCTTCTGTTATTTGATGCCTGATGCTTTTGCTTCCATTTTTCCAGGATCTGATGAAGAGCGGGAGGCTTTCAAGAAGGCCAACCACCAAAACAAGCTGCTCAAGCAGCAGGAGAATCAAGGCCTACACCTCACTATCAAGGTGACATCAGACATGAGGAAGGGCTGCGACTTCGATGTGTTTGCTGTGGTTACTAACAACACGCAAAGCGAGAAGAAGTGTCGTCTGGTGTTTGGATCCTGCGCTTTGTCCTACAATGGCATTATGGGAGAGAACTGTGGCTTTAAAGATCTGCTCAACGTTGAGCTCTCACCAGGAGGAGGTGAGCCAGGTCACCATGTGGAAGCTACATGTGAATGCTGTTTATATGCTTGACTTTCAGATGTGAGTTTAAAATATGTTACATGTGTTCTTCTAGAGAGGCGAGTTCCACTGAGGCTGAACTATTCCAAGTACGGCGACCATCTCACTGAGGACAACTTGATCCGTCTGGCAGCTCTGCTGTTGGACTATGGCACCGGAGAGGCAACGCTGGCAGTAAGAAACATAGTGCTGGAGAATCCTGAAATCAAAGTCAGAGTGAGTATTGTGATGTGCAATAAAATTCAAGCTTACAAAACAGTTTTTATAAATGATGTGTCACTGAGGTGTTTACATCTGCCATTTGTCCTGCATATAAATGACTGTTTAATTGTTTTCTAATATGTTCCAGACCTTGTAATGCACCGTTGTTATGAAATAATAAGCATCATTTAATAAGGTCCAACTGCAGCACCTCAGACTCTCCCATGCAGCTATTACTGCCACCTGCTGGTTGGAAGATCTAGACCGTAATAGATATTACAAACGTTAAAGTACAGCAATTTTACTTATTAAAATACTTATTGATGCAAAAAAATACATATTCATGTATTTCTATCATTAAATCTCCAACACTCAAAACCTGGAGGCAGGTTTGAAAGGCAAAAAAGGAAATATAAATAAGTAATACCATTTATCAGAGCCAGAAACTGTATAAACAGAAGGGATCATCAGATTTTAGACTGTCAGACAGTCTTTGAATGTATCATAAGTGTCACCCGGTTCCAGCAGAAAAAATAGCTAAATCTAAGCATCATGTTCTACATGACTTGTATATTTTAAAAAAAAATAAATTAAAAAAAAAGCATTTGCACTTAACAGCAAATGTGTTGAACTTCCAGCCTTGGTGATCCAGAACAGAGAGGAAACAAGTATGGCTGAGTGACTTCCATATATCATTAGAAACTACTCTGAAGTTTCCCTGTTATGCTGATAACTGTCGATCCAGTTATGTAAAACTTATTCCATTTAAAAACGACAAATTCCGGTGCAGCGAAGTACATCAGTGTAATACTAACAGTACGGTTGACATTACTTACATGTGTAGTTGTTTGGGGCTTTGCAGCTTCACTTTGTTGTTTCTTACAAGTTTAAAGTCTGGCAAACAAAGCTGCAAGCAGAGGCGCAGTAGTGGTCTCGCCTCACGAAAGTCAGAACAAACTTCTAAATTTGGCCTTGTAGCTCAGTATGAGGGAAGATTCAGCAACTAAACTGTTTATTTCTTAGCTCAAATTTGTTCAGGGACAGATTCTGGTGGATTGCTAAGGTGATATAAGTGAAAGTCAGCCTACTTCATACAACAGAAGACTACTTGTCCTGCTCAAACCCCATTGGCTCTCAGAGATGGGGTCTACAGTTGGATCTAACTTGTGTTATTGGCTTAACCTGTGATCCAGTCTGGGCACCCTTTTTCAAACATTATATAGGACATTTACAATTCAATGCAGTTCCAAAAACCAGACCAATCCAGCTTAGAAATGTTCAAATATAAAAAAATGAAGCTATTGAGTCACTAAAATGTTAGTGTCCAGGTTTTTTCTTGAAGTCTGTTTCCTTGTTCTGCTTCAAGAGTATGTCAGCACGGGTTTATTGGAATACCACCCTCTGTGTTTTTAAAGAGCTTGGCCCAAGCAAACCTCTGGTGTACACAGTGTAAGACTTTGATTAACTAACACTCAGACGTGGCTCTGCTCTTCAGATCCTGGGTGAACCGAAGGAGAATCGGAAGCTGGCTGCAGAGCTCACTCTCAAAAACCCTCTGCCAGAGTCGCTGGAGAACTGCTGCTTCAGCATCGAGGGGGCCAACCTGACCGGGGGACATGCCATCTCTGAGAGGTTGTATGAGTGCTTCGTTATCCAACTAGAAGTCATTAAAATCATTCAAATATTTTATCATCAGGACAAAGAAAACATGCAAAATAAATGAAAAAATCATTGCTGTGTGTGATTTTCTCTCCACTTGACTTCCAAGTTCTGAGATATGTGTTATTTTGTGTAATGATTTGTCTTGGTCTGGGTTATGGTTCAATGTCCAGATGTCTGTCTCCATGTGCTGCTGTTTGGTCAGGACAGGAGCCCACTGGTGAAGACATGTACAGTGCAGGGTACTACCAGAGTAGAAAGGAGATTTAAAGATAGTAATGATACACTAGTGGGGTTATTGTTCAAAAGTATTCTCTCAATCAGTCCATTTGCATGTTTTCACCTTATTCAGTGAGTAAATTAAGAAGCGTCCAATCAATTACTCCAGCTTTCGTGCAACGACTGACCCGTGATTGTCCGTATGATCCTTTTTCATGGTCACTTCTACAGTTTGGCCAAACTCTTGTTCTGAGCGGCTCCATCTGCATCATCTCCATAAATAGTCAGAAGTATCATGAGTTCTAGTAGTAATGCATCGTCTAAATATTTATGCAATCAGAGGACTGTGATAAAGTCCTCCTGGTGTGAGAAAAAATAATGTAATTTAAATATTTACCTTACAGGCTGGGCTTCTCAGTGGGACCTGGGGAAGATGCCAAGGTGAAAATCTACTTCACTCCCACCCACAGTGGACTGAGAAAACTGGTAGTCGACTTTGACAGCAACAAGTTGTGTCACGTCAAGGGCTACAGAAACGTCATCATTGGAAAATAAGGCCTTTCAGCCTTTACAGTCCATTAGACGCAATGTTCTTACTCTGTCAGAACTGTTCAGCCATGTAAAGATTAGCACCCGCTTTTGCAGAGTGTAATACATACAATGCTTTTCTGCTCAGATACCTTGTCATTCCCTCCTCCCTCTTGTTGTTTACTGGTGAATGCGACATGTTACATGTTGAATCAGAGCCGTAAATATTTTAATGTGACTTGCTTTGTATTCATTAAGACTAATCAAATATGTGCATGCAAAACGTAAAACCTGAATATGTACTGTTTCTCCTCACAGTCTGAAGTGATGATTTGTATTTTAAGTACTATGTACTATTTTGTACAAGAGCAGCAATTAAAAGTGTTATTCTCATTATTTTGTGATTGTGTTACAACCACTCAGACACTTTGTCTTTGTGTTGGCATGAATACGAGAATACGAGTTCAGTGGGTCGATTTGCATTTCCACATCCTTCCCACAACAAGCGCAACACCTGTTGCGGTGTTCTCGAAGTTGTTTCACTTGTCGAAGGTGTACAGTAAATGCTATTGACTCATCATGAATAATGATTTATATTTTATTTACTAATTGGATCATGTTTGACAGCACTGATGCTACAAGCCTGCCAGCATTCCTCAGTAGCAGAGTGTGGACCACCCACAGTAAATATGCTGCTGTTGGTGCTTCGCCACATTCCACCATGCATGTGGATATAATGAAAACGTGCTGTATTTGTTTCCATCAGGTTCACACCTCATAATCTACTGTTTCTCCTCTAGCAAGTTTGATACACATCTTTTAATAAGTCTGTAAAGCCACTGCAGTGCATCATGTGCGTTTTTAGAAAGAGCTTAATAAAGCCCTCTCAAGTATAAAAACTTCACCACTGATTATACTCAGAGGAAGGACCTATCCTTAGCTAGGAGATATTCTATTTATTAAATTATTTTTTGCCAAGTAAGTGCATAGGCCTCTCACTTATGTTATTTTTTTTTTATTCTTTTGTTGAAAACATTGATTGTAGTTATTATCGAAAGGGACAAAAATTGCACCTTCCAACCCCTTTTCCTCAATTTCCTTGTCTAATTTTGCCCCTGCACTAGATATCTCTGGCCTCTCGACCCCTTCGTCAGCCCACATGGCCCCAGTAACTGCTCTGAATCCCTCCACATGACCAGAGAAGGACTGTTGAATGCCAATGTGAGGCTTATGTTGTGTTGCCAACATTATCTACAGTTGGGATGCACACACGATACTGCAGCTGATACTGGCCAATGGCAGGAAAACTGTTTGTGATCACAGACGTTCTACATGAAATGAACTTGTCATCGCAGTCTTTTCAGTTTGTGCTACTTCTATGGCTTCAACAAATCTTCCCAAAAAACAAAGAAAAGGTTTTCTACCACTACCGGTGTATAAAGTCTGTATGCAGGGAAGCCTTTGTGCATGTGTGTGAATTATTTCTTAACTTTGAGGAAGTACTGCCCTCTGCTGGTCAGAAAGATCAAATGTAAATCATTGAACAAAAGCCTGGGACGCTTCTGCAGGTTGCATTTTTGCACAGTAGCTGGCAGCAACACACAACTTTAAAAAGTTTTTTTTTTTTTTTTTTTTTTAATTCTGAATTTGTGGTGAAGAGTTAAAATTATGTACGGCAATGGTGTTTGTCTTTTCAACCACGTGAGAGATGCTCCAAGTCACAGAGTTGGAATTACACAAATTGTCACAGCGACACTTAATCTTGAGGCTAATGCTGTCTTAACAAGCTGTTTCTTCAAATATCAACTTTCACACCTTTAAATGTGTGCACCTTCACTGAAACCATATTTTAATTAAGCACAACAGCAGAATGACAAAAAAACCAGACCAATGTCATTTCAAATGAATGTATTTAACATAACAAATACTGAACAGCAGCACTAAGAACAAACACAGTCAAGAAATGAGAACGTTTAGACCAAAAGTGATACTGTGGGTGACAAAATGAATATATCAATGAAAGGTTTGGGGGTTATTAACATACTACTGGTGGCTGTATCATTTGGTTAAGTAGCACTGAGTAGCTTTATTTACGTGATGACATGTAAAAGTCTACAGTGTAAAGAGTGACTATACATAAGAATATATCTTGATGGGATGAAGGCATACATTTGCATTGTGACAGACATTGTAGTCGTGGTTTAGAAAGCTAAATACAGACTGTTTTTCAAGTTTTAAAACAAAGGTTACAGGACTGAAATAGATACTCTTTAAAAGGTTTTCAGATAGTAAATAATAATAATAAAAAGCTTGACTAATTATTTATTTCTTAGAAATGTACACTGAAATACTGCAGCTTTTAAAAAAAAAAAGAACTCACACATTGCAAAGAGTCTGTCCTGCATCAGTGAAGCTTAACTTTGCGCTGGTTGCTATTTATAATATACATGATAAAATAACAAAACAAAAGTTCTGCTTTGTTGTTACAGCTTTACTGTCACATCAACATAAACTTAATGCGTGAGGAAAAAGCACAAAGAACAAAGCAGCAACAACAACAAAAAAAAACAACCCGCAATCAGAGATACTGTCAGCAAAATCATCCCCTCTGTTGGCATTCAACAGTGTTGGCATCCAAACAAGAATATTAAAGATAGACAAACAAACCATGAAACACAAAGGGCCCGGTTAGGATCCAACTGTGTGGTGATTAGCGCGCCGATGACCGTCCCTCTTTACAGAGATAAGTCATGAACATGCAGACGGACGGGCAGGTCGCCCGCTCTAAAGCACACAGCTCTCATTACAGTCAATGGTGCTGCCAGCTGATCTCTTCTTCAGCTCCCTGCCCTCTGTCTGGTGGGGGTGACTCCCCTGTGACCGGTGTCCCGGCTCCTGCAGCTGGACGTCATCTGACCCCTGACTCCTCTCAGACTCCACCTGCAGGTAGGCCCGAACCCGGTGGCGCTGCACCACGGTTCCGCTGTAGTCAATGACGCGACACTCGTACGTGCCCTCGTCGGACGTTTTGACGCTGGAGAGACGGAGTTTGTGGGAGATGTTGCTACCGGCCACTTTGACCACCTAATTGGGAGGGGAAAAAAGACGAGACATTCCTATTTAAAGCAAATTACACATACATTTTTCTAAGCTTCCTTGTGGTTCATCACCCATCAATGAATGCAAGTAAATCTTGCAGAAGCTTGTATTTCGTCTATATTCATGATGATAAAAAAATAATAATAACACAATAAAATCAAAGTCAGCTAGTTCCATTGATCTTGACTTTGCTTTGTGTTGGATGACAGCTGACGCCACATCAAACTCACACTAATTTTGGTGGCATCTTTGGACGTCTCCTCCTGGGGTACAACCTGCAGAAACACGGGTGAAGCATTAGCAGCAGAAAACTGATTGAAGCAGCCTTTTTTCTGAAAAATAAAATAAAATTGCTAGCCACATCTCTGTGGAGCAAAAAAAAAAAAAAGCTTTTTATGTTTTTATTTTTAACAGAGGATGCCTTATTTGGATTTTTTTTTTTTGTCTGTCACAGTTACCACTCTCTCTTGAAGCTTTGTACGAGAGAGTGTGTGTGTGTGTGTGTGTGTGTGCATGCTTACATCTGCATGTTTTTAACTGTGTGTGTACAAGCACCAAGCATGTAAGCCACGGAGAAGGAGAGTGTGTGCGTGTGATTGGGTATGCAGAGGCACAGAGGTATTCTTTTGGGCATAGGTATGAATTATGCATGGAGCAGAAAGAGATTTTGAAAATCTATTTCTTTCTCAGTGCCAATTATAGTGTCTAGAGGCACAACAGGGGAGTGTGAGTCCCCCCCATGATGGGAGAGAGTCAACCTGTTCCCCCAGTGCTGGCAAATGCTAATCAGCAATTATACCTTTGCTTCCGTGCCAGAGGGTTTCTGCCATGGCTAATATTGCACATTTGCCTTTGACTGATATACAGTAAGCCTTAGACTCAGTCCATCAGTTCTGCCTGAAATAAATAACTGTAAAAACTGACAAGTGACAGTTAAAATGGACTTTGTAAATCTTGTTGTCTATGTTAGGTAAAATAAAAGCTGACACAGATATCACGTATGAGCAAACACCTTTGTCATATATTTTGCTTTGATAGGCTGCTTTCCTCTCATCTCTCAGTGATATATAAAACTAATTCCATTTCATTTTAAAATGTCCTTTTGGAACATGTAAGTCAGACAATTACTTGGAACAAACCTGAGACATGAAGGAGCCTGTTTTCAGGTTGAACACTGGGTGTGTGTTGTTTTTCTGCAAAGTGCACAATTTAACTTCGACCTACATCCGGCAAATGGAGTGTGAAGAAATGTGATTTTTGATGTATTAATTGATGTTTATTTTCACCTGTCATACAAATGTATCCCTGCAGGTCCATCGACACATGTAACCTGCAAGATTTTAAAGATTTTTGGCTCTTCGGTGCTTTAACGCTTCATTTTATAGTCATTTAGCCAGTGAATGAAAACATTTTTGGGGTACATTGATGATTGTTATAATATAGTGTTTTAATTTTCTAACTTTCTCTGTGTTACTGCAATTTGTCATGCAGTAAAATTAATGTTTGGGATTCATGCCCTCCTTTACCATGATTGGTTGCAGAGTTACTCCTTATGTAAGGTGGTTTCTCTTTGTCACAAGCCATTTGCTTAATAAAGCTCTAGCAGCAAAATGTTGTGAACAAATGTATTTTTGCAAGTTAGTGTGTGGGAGTCTTTTTGAAACCTTTGATATACTCATCCCTCTCCTACATACCTGTCTCACGAGTTACCTCTGCAAAGCGCTCCTTTGTCTAGATTTTGTACATCAACGTAAATTACCTGAAATCATGTAATTCTTAGCATAGATAACAATATGATTGCTTTTGCTTGTTTGGTGTGTGTTTCTGGATGTCTGGTTATATGTCTTATGCCTGGCAGACTGCAATGTCCTGTACTCCCAGGAGAATGAGCCAAATATCTGACAAGAAAGAAATAAAAACTAGTCGATTGTGGGCATCATAATGCAGGTAGTCATCATAAAGTAGTCTACACAGATGCAGTGCTTCCAAAACTGCTTTTTGTCAGACACAACCTCCAGAATCCTCAGATGAGTAAAAGTACTCCTCCAACAACACCATTATAAACCGGCTGTTAACACTATTGATTGTGTAGAAGCCGATGTCCCTACAATGTTTTTTTTTTTATGCAATTTTTATGCAGTTGTACAAAGTGCTGCATACGCCATGACTGTGCAGCCAAGCTCAACAGAAAACTGTACACATCCACAAAGCAATGAACAAAAGCATAGCACAGTGATTAGTTATTGTTGTGCTGACTAATTTGGGTTTTTGTAGGTGTCACTTTATGAGAAATTGCAGTGGGCTGTGCGCAAGATAGCACAGTATTGACAAAAGAAAATCAGACTCCACTGAGAAATAATAATCAATGTAAAAAATAAAAAACAAACATGATTGCGAAAATGTTATTGATGACAAAGCATATTTTTGTGCATTTGTTATTATCAATAGTACACTCTGTAAAGCTTACGATATGATTTTAAAATAGGGAATAATTTGTCTTATATATGTGGCAGGTTATGCAAAAACAGCCAAGGCCTTTGAGGATTAAAATGTCAACACTGAAGCTGCTTGGATGAGTTCGTGTTTATTTTAAAAGCTGGAGATTTAAACCATTACTGTCAAAATTGCATTTCTAAAGCAATAATTTATTAGTTTACTTTTACAAAACTATTTTAACTGTTTATTACTTTTAGCCATTTCAACCCTTTAGTCATTACTTTCAGCTAACTAGCAATTGTTTTATCCATTTTTAGCATGAAGCCAATTATTGCAACAGCTATTAATACTTTTCTACTGACAACTGTTGTTTATGTTTTGGTTGATTTTAGCTTGGTGGAGGCATTATAGGTGAGCTTAGGAAGGCTTTCCATTGGATCCTTTGGAAGCACCAGTGGGTGGGAATCGCTGCACGAACACATTTAAGATCAGATAAGATATGCCTTTATTTATCTGACAGTGGAGAAATTCACATTGTTGTCAGCAGCATTACACACAGAGATACACACATACTAGACAGAAAAATGTACATATAAGAAAATAGTGCAAATTTGAACAAGAAACACCTGTTTTTCCTTGCAGCTTACATTATTAATGATGTGACCGGGCTTCTCCTGCCAGTCTTGGTGGTCCTTGATGTACCACCACTGGATCTCCAGGGAGTAGGAGGGAGAACCGGCCCCACGAAAGGAACAGGCCATCTCTACATCCTCCCCGCTGTGTGTCCTGATGTCGTGTGGGACCTCTGTGAAGAGAGCTGCAAGACACAGAGAGAAAGAAATGACAAAAAAAAGATGAAGGAAAGCGATGGGCTTAGGACATCCAAAATGGCTGAAACAAAAACCTGTCTGTTTCTCAGATGGCTTGGTGACAACATTTCACCGGTGACAATGCTGCATCATACTTCAGCTAGAGAAAAACTGAGAAACACGAGAACAAGGTGTTAGAACCAAGGTAAATATAGCAACAAAGAATTCAGTGAAAAGATATGGCGTCAAGTTACCAGTCAGTGTGTGCATGCGTTTATTTGTATAAGTGTCTTGATTAATGTGCTCCTGTGCATTTGTATACGTTTTATTTATTGGACAGATTTGACCAGAGGGTTAGCAAACTTTTGCACACAACTATATGTTGTTGTTGTCTCAGGAAAACTTCAAATGAATCACATTATGAACTGAGGAGAACAGAAAGTGTCAACAATATTGTATAATCCTACTGTTACGGTGCAGCACACTGAGCTGAACATTGTACAGACACGATTATTTTTAAGTGTCATTGCATTTCAGTCCCCCGCACATCAGATAAACCACCTACACATAGAACATCACGTCTGAGACATGACAGATTAAACCTGGCTACTGCAGTAAGGAATATTTCAGGAGCTTAAACTTCATTATCAATGAGTGAGAGCTTTGAACTACATGAAAATAATTACATTAAATTACTACCACACAGTATATACTGTTTGAGAAAACGCAAATATACTGAAGCCAGACACGAAATAACATAACATTTAAATTGATGACAGCTCTACATATGAAATCAATACAGACACCATGCTGAGGTTACATGGCATGAAAGGAAGTCTCATTACAGTCAGCTTAATGTTGCTATGGCTGCGTGCACACAGTGCTAGCCATTTTAATTACAATATAATGAATATACAGGAGAGTGGAAGTCTAATGCACATAAACCATCGGAGGTGGGCGTATTGATTAAATATGAACGTACAATTTAACACGCAAGATACAACCTCATCAGATCTCTGAGTCTCACTCATTACAATGTTTTCAAGAAATATTACTGGAATAAAGAGTGCTCTGTGATAGACTGGTGACCTGTTCAGGGTGCCCCATGCCTTCGCCCTAAGTCCCCCTTCCCCCGTGACCCTAGTGAGGATTAAGATGTGTATAGATAATGGATGGATGGATAAAGAGCGCTGACCAAAATTCTTACATGTTTGTGCTGGTTATTTTCTTTTATATAACGAATTGTGTTATTTGTTGCTTGTATCGGTTTAGTAGACTTTTTTTAAACTTCAGATTTCTAGATTTTTTTAACAAGCGCTCCAAATTTGACATCTCTGCATCTGAAACAATTCAAAAGTTCACTACTTTATCTTAACAAACACAGTCAACTACACAAAATTTAAATATTAAACATTCACCTATGTGCCGAAACCAACCAGATGTAACAGTTGAAAAGAATAAAGCTGCAAATGACCATATTACCGGATGTGTGTTTAAAGTACAACAATATGATGTGCCTTCCAGCCATTGGACAAATGTGAGTTCAAATTTAACCATCCTTTCAACTCTTACACATTCTTGTAAAGTTTGTCAACTTTCTTCAATATCAGATTTTCTACATTTTTATTATCTTATTTTATTTTACCTTCATTTTATACCCTACCCTAATATTCTGTGTTGTCTTTTTGCTTTGTTTTCCTCCTTTGCTGAATATTCATGATGCTGTAACAACTGAATTTCCCACTGGGATTAATAAAGTCAGTCTAAGTCTAAGTCTAACTCTGTTTTGGTCTCCACCAACACGTGAAAAAACAATCTGACTCTTGAGCTGCTAAAAGCTTCACTACATTCACCAGCTAACTCTGTTTGGTGTTGAACAGGTAATGTTAAGTGGGTTTATCTGATGAAAATAGCTGCTCGTAACAGGTTTGACGACAGCGATGATGCTGGAAATGTGACGCAAACTCTTTAGGAAAGTCCTGCAGAACCCATTGTCACACTTGAAGTCTGATAAGAACAGAATAACTTGTGTTTTCTGTCAGCTAATATTTCATATCTCATCAACAGAATAATCCTCTTACAGAAAAAAACCCTGCAGAAGACAGAACAGTTGGGCAAAGAGAAATGTCAGCTGCTGTTTTTCACAATTGACATTCACTCTGCCTTGTTCAAGGATGATCCCGGAATGAACAGGAAGCTGGAAGGGAAAAGGCAGGGAAGGGGAGAAACGAGGGGGAAGAGGGTTTCAGTGTCGTCGGACTGACTGGGCTCTCAGGAGTCGCGCCCTTGATGCACTGCTGCTAGCGACCAGGCAGTGGCCTCATTTGTCAGGAGGAGACATACTGTAGGTTTGGAGCCTTTCAGGGGCCGAGAGGGTTAGAGGAAGAAGGAGGAGAGGAAAAGAAAGAAAAGACGTACAAGGGCAAAGGTGAACTGAGGCGAGTTTGTTGAGAAGCAAGAGCTGAGAATGATAGATGGAAACGTGAGGAAACTGATAGGAAAGGCAGAGAGAAGAGCACACAGTCGTACGAAGGATATAAGACCTTTAGAAATAACTGTTCTTAGACAAATGACACATGGGAAAGTACAAAGACCATAAAACCGACAGCAACCTGCTGTAGCACAAGTGTTTAAGTTCTGAAAACTTTTGCGGCAGTAAAGCACTCTTTTCTTCCTTTTGCATAATGTACAATATGTAACATACAAAACCAGATTTTTTTTATTTCTTAAATTATATTTTCAACTTATTTCAATTACTAGTATTTTTCCTGCCTTGTAGTCTGACTCACTGAATGTTGACTGTGGGTATAAACGTGCCATTGCCCATCTTCAAAAGCGACTTCACGCTTGGAAACAACAACCTCTGAGTAATTGACTTGACCAATGTTCCAATCCATCTCACGTAACATGAGAGCTCATGGTATCGATTTTTGAAGGAGTCGCATACAACTCGCAAATGTTCTGCATCTATAATGTGTACAGTATCGGTTGGCTTTACCTCTAGCGCATTGATTATTAAATTATATTTCTCTTCTCTGTTGAAGTAGATTCACACAGTCGATTTTCTTCTTCTTTTATTGTGGTCCGTGGCATGTTTTTTTTTTTATTATTAGCCAATTTAATGACAGTGCTTGCCTCCCCACATGCAAAACAAATTCCCCCCAGACACTATTTTGTAGGGGCACCATCCCTGCATCCCGGGTTTAATGACACCCAAGACAATTGTGGTTGAATAAATACAACCTGAAGTGACTTTCCCCCTATAGGAGAATGATGGTGGGTGTTGGTCAGAGCATTCTCTTGACACAGTGCTGTGAAGATATTGCATGTCTGCCTACACAAGACAACCTAGCATGCAGAACATTTACGTACGATTGTAACGCAGGTGTCTAGGGGCATACAATATTTTAAACTGATTTCAATACAATGTGCTAATTTCAGTGTCACAGATTAATAATAATATATGAGGTGTGTCAGAAAAGTTTCAGGACTGGTGTCACAAAAGATATGTTTCAAATCAAAACTACGAGTTTTCCCCTTTGAAGTAATCCCCCTGGAGTCTAACACACTTCCCAGCCTTCTCTGCCGCCATGCACTACTGGAAGGATTTTTCTGGGATCCTCTGCAGCTCTGTCATCACAGCCATCTTGATGTCGTCCACGTCTTCAAAACAGGTCCCCTTGATGACCCCCTTGAGCTTGGGGAAGAGGAAAAAAATCCCACGGATGTTCTTCTCAACCAAGAACTGTGGGATGCTCAGGGCATTGTGAGCAGGCGTGTTATCATGGTGAAGCAGCCACAACTTGTCCTGCCACAACCCTGGCCTCTTCTTGTGCACTGAACGAAGCAAACACCACAAGATCTCTTTGTAGACGTTCTTGGTGATCGTCTTAAGGGGAAAACTCGTCGTGTGGGTTTGAAATATATCCTATGTGTCACCAGTCCTGGAACTTTTCTGACACACCTCGTAATGCCGCCAAGACACACTGTCACCATAAAGAGTCTACATTCACACAAGCAGCTCTGTAAGACTGTACGTAGACATAGGGGAGCTTTGAGCGAACAGAAGCAGGTATTATGCTCAAAAACATTCAACACCTTAGTTTTGCTCCACATTATTAGATTTCGAGAGAGAGGGGGACATGACCGTCTGAACCAAATTTGATGGCAAACCAGTATTTTGAGACATTTCAGTCTGGAGCCTGGACTGAAGAGGTCGACCACACTACTGACATTTCCATCTCCCTTGAGCGGTGAAAAAAAAAACGAGCATTGTAAGCTTTACAAAGATAGGCTCTCTCACAGGACTGATGTATTAGAGTGTGCAGGTGCACCTCATAGCCTCATATGTTTTGTCTGAACATATTGCAAAAATAAATGACAATAATGTGGTATTGCGTCTCACACAGCTGCAGATAATATGATATTGCAGGGCCCCTGGTGGATCCTTCTTTATTGTATTCTCCTTTAACCACAGCAGTGAATATGACAAACTCAAACCTCTTCCACACAGTGTTAATGTTGTTTCGCTATCTGGTCTGATGAAAACTGCAATAACCCTGACAGACCAACAACCTACATATTAACACATTTACACCACATCCCTGACAAGCTTCTCCTACTGAAGGAAACAAACAAGCATTCAAAGATGTGTATATGTTTAATTCCTAAGCTGAGAGACAAACAAGTTGGCCAAATTATAGACCCTTAAACAGAATGCCTCTATATTTCAGATTTTAAGGCTGAGAATGCTTTCTGATTATGTAACCTGATAAATTCTTGAGCATTTAGCAGCCGTGCGAGCAGGCAGCACTTATTGTTAAAAAGAAAGCTCGGTCTTTTATTTATTTTTTTCTGTCTCGTTCTCCACTTTTATGCAAATTCTCCCGAGACTAAAAAAAATAACAGGTGAGCTGAGGATACATCTCTGTCAAACTCAAGGCTACCTCTCCACTTTTGTTCCATCTCCATCTTGCAATACGAATCCTTATTAAGATGCTGACAGATG